AGGGATCTTTTCCCTCTCTGGAATTCCCTGCCAGGAGGGCACAGCCGGGGGGGTCGGGCTCTGCTCCAGGGAACAGGGACAGGAGCAGAGGGAACGGCCTCAGGGGAGTTTCAGCTTGGATATTTGGGAAAATTCCATCATGGAAAGGGTTTTCCAGCCCTGGCAGAGGTGCCCCATGGTGGAATCCCCGTCCCTGGGAGTGTTCCCATCCCTGTGGATGTGGCACTTGGGGACAGGGTTAAGGGTGATGGTTCATTGCTCGCTCAGGTCTTTCCCAACCTAAACAATTCCATGATTTTCTATCAAATCCCCCATGAATTCCCATCAATTCCCAGACCTTTTCCATGTCCCACAGCCCGGAGCTGCTGTCCCAGGTCTCCCCAAGCCTTTAATCCAATTAATGTCCCAGCTCCTCCATGGCACTGGAGCTCCCTGGAAGCTTTGGGCTCTTTTTGCAGCAAAGTTCATCATTTTTCCCAAAACCCTCACTTGAATTAATGTTGGGATTTTCCTGTTGTGTCCAAGGATGACCAAGTCAGGGCTCTTTAGCTAATTCCTGCTGGCCTCCTTTTTCCAGTAACATCCTCTTTTTTCCCAAGGGAATTCATTTCCCACTTCAAGGCTATCCCGAGAATTTGCTGTGTTCCAATTGTAATTAATGTGTCAAAATGGGCCTGGGAGAAGATGCTGTTGTTAAAACTTCACCTTGGAGGACTCACGGAATTTTGGGATGAGAAAAACCAACCCTTAATTCCAACAGGTGCCTGAACACTTCAAAATAATTCCTGCAACAACCCTTTGACTCCAGAGTTTGGGAATTACAATTGGGAAAGGGTGAAAAGGGGTGGGAAGTGCATGGAATGTGCAGAGAGAATGAAGATGATTCATGGTTCCCTCTCTGCTGATATTCCTAAGGGGTTTGACACATGGAATTAGGGAGCATTTGCTGCTGGGATCCCACATTCCACACTCTGTTCCATTTCTCTCTCCAAGACCACACATTTTTATTTAGTGGATTTATTTCTTCATAATTTTTCCAGATTCCTGGGGATTTCTGTTGCTGTTCCTCTCCCTTCCCAGTTCATTGGTGATATCCCGATGGGATTTGGAGCTTCCGTTATCCAGGACTGCAAATCCATCATTAATTCCATGGCACATTCACAAATACAGCCCCAAACAAACCTGAGAATTCCTGTGTCAGGTTTTAATCCACACTTGCATTTTCCCACTGTGAAATGATCCCTACATTCCTCTTGAGCCCAGTATCCATGGGTGAATCCTGAAGTTCCTCACTTCAGCTCCTTGGCTGTTGCTGGAGACAGGGAGAAGTCCCCACTCCATCTCCTTCATCCTGACTCCATTTATTTCATCCTGATTCCATCTCCTTCATCCTGGCTCCATTTCCTTTATTTCCACCTCTTCCATTCCTGTTCCATCTCCTCCATCCCATCTCCTCCATCCCCACTCCATTTATTTCATCCTGATTCCATCCCCTTCTTCTATATCCACCAATATTCCTTGGTCTGGAGTTCAGCGAAGGGACAAGATGCTGTTGTTAGAATTTCACCTTGGAGGATTCACAGAATTTTGGGATGGGAGAAAGCAGCCCTTAATTCCAACATTCCCTGAGCACTTCAAAATAATTTGTGCACCAGCCCTTTGACTCCAGAGTTTGGGAATTTCAATTCCAGGCTCATGGGCTGCGAACTGCCTGAAGAAATTCAGCTGCCAGCAGCAGCTCCAAAAATCTGGTTTTGGAACAGCAGCTCCAGACCTTATTTGTGGAGCTGGCGCTGCTGGTTCTGTTCCAGAGGGATTGAAGGGTCGCTGTCCCCTGGGGCTCCCCAGGCTGGAGCGTTATTCCTGCTGGGATCAATGGGATCCATCCACTCATGGACACAAACAGGCCTGGGAGGAGGAGCAGCCGCCTAATGAGCGCTCGTTAATGATCATTAATGGGCTCCTGGTAATGAGGGGGCTCAGCTGAATATTGGGATTTTTAGAATGGGTTCCCAGCTGAATATTGGGATTTTTACAACGGATTCCCATCTGAATATTGGGATTTTTAGAGGGGGATCCCAACTGAATACCAGGAATTTTAGAGGGGGATCCCAGCTAAATACCAGGAATTTTATAGTGGTGAATATTTTGCAGGTGAATATTGTGATATTTAGAGGGATTCCCAGCTGAATATTGGGATTTTTGGAGAACATCTTTTCATTAGGAGTTGCCAGCCCCAGCAAGGATCTGGGAACAGGATCCAGGATCCAGGAACAGATTCCACTTGGAATAATAAATACTAAGGTAAACCAGGAAGCTGGAGATGCTCTATCCCTACAAAGCTTTCACTTTTTAGCTCCAAATGAACTTCGGGTGCAGATTTTCCTCATTGGAGCCGAGCTGCTTTAAAAATCGTTGGAAATTTGGCCTGAACATGGGGATGGAATTAACCCCCCTACTCCCGGTGTGGCTGAGCGCTCCTTCCCCTCCTCCCTCAGCCGGGGCAGGATGAGAATTCCCGAAAAGAGGTGGGAGGCAGGCAATGGATAACCCAGAGCCATTGCCCGGGGCGCTGCGGGGTTATCCAGAGGTGCTGGAAGATCCAGGAGCGATTTTCATGAATTTCTCCCGGCTGAGATATCGCTCTGGAGCACCCGGGGCGCCTCCGGGGGTGTCTCGGGAAGGATCCGCAGCACCTTGGAGCTGGAAGGGGAAATCCATCCCTGCTCTCCCCAGCCTGCATCCCTGGGGGAGCAGAGGCAGCGGGTCCTGGGGTCCAGGGGGGATTTGGGGGGGGTTTATTCCCAGCAGAGGGTTTTTCCTGAGATTTTCCAGCTGGGAGCTGAGCACTGAGGGGTGTGTGGCCTCGGGCTGTGCCCTGGAGCTGCTGGCACTGGGATTTAGTCCATAGGAATGATGTCATGACTGTGGAGACAGGAATTAGGAATTCAGGGAGCCTGAGGTGAGAGCATTCCAACCCTGACTCCAGCAAAGTCACCCTGAAGCCTTGCATTGCTGTACTCCAGGAGAATTCCAAGTATCCCATCAGGGGCCTGCTCTGCTTGGGGCTGCAGGGAATTTTGGGGTGTTGTTCACCCCAAAAAAGCCCTAAAACATCCTAAACTTGTCGATCCCACAGGTTCTTCCTGCAGCTTTCCAGGTGTTTTCCTAAAAATGGTGGGAGCAGCTGGAAAATCTCTGTTCCCCATGAGGTTGCTGCTCCTCCATCACCCCAAAAATGTGGGATTGAGGTGATCCCAGAGTCTGAGAGGTTCCTCCTCCCCCTCCCTCATGCAGCCCATGCACAGGTTATAAATATCCTATCTGTTCTCCGGGCCAGTTCCCAAATCCCATGGATGCACTGGATGTGTCCCAACATCTCTGCATCACCCAGCAGGAAAAACCCTTTCCCCAACATTTCCCTGCCTAAAACGAGGGATATTTTTAGGGATTAGAGCCACAAACACTGGATTAGTGGGGGCACCAGACAAGGAGGGATCCTGGATTGAGGCTGAAAATCCCACAATTTTAGGTCCCAGCCAGGAGTTTGGCTTGGAATACCAGTGTTGGGAATTAAGATTAATTAAAATGTTCCGCTCTAAGCATTCCCTGTAATTAATAAAGGATTCCTGATGAATTAACTCCCTAAAAGTGCCCTGGCATTCCAGGATTCAGGAACGCTCATGTTCTCCACAACACCACCGCAAAGTATTCCAGTTCGACAGCTGCAAATGCTTTGCAATGACTGAGACCTCTCTATTATTTCTCCCTCTTACCGTGTTTTCCTAAAATTCCTCATTTCCTAGCGTTCCTCTGGCACTGAATGGTGGAAAAGGGGAATTTTGGAAGCATTTCTCCAGCCGGTTCAGGCGGGATGCCTCGGGAACATTTCTGTTCTGTGATTCCCGATCCAGGGTGTGTTTGTTCCCGGGAGAACAGGCAGATCTGTTCTTTGTCCTTCCCTGAATGCGGCTGGAAATGAGGGATCGCTGCCGAGATTCCTGCCGGGCGCAGGGAATTGATTCCATGGGGATGCTCTGCTCTGCCTCTGCCTCTCCCACAAGTGCCTCTGGCAGCTCCAGTTTTTTCCACCCCTTCCAGCCCAGCTGTAAATGGATTTCACCTTCTCCATCCCAGTTTAAACTCCTGATAACCTCTCCTAGGGGTGTCCATTAAATTTCGGGAGCTCGGCCATCTCCACCCCCGGGATAAACCACGAAGCTCCAAAAGCTTCCAGCACTAAAAACATGGACAATCAATATTTCCCGGCGGGAATTTGGGTGTCAGGAGAGCGATTTTCCCGCAGGTTGTTGGAGCCTCTGCCTCCCCATCCCGCTGCCGGGATTCCGGGAAGCGCCTGTGGCGCTCCCGCTCCTCCCGGGGCCGGTGTGGATGCACGGATTTATCCAGGAGCCAGCGGAACCCCCGGGAACGGGAGAAACAGCCCGGGGAGCTCGCACGGGAAGATCCCTACGGAGGGAATGGACGGAGAAATCCAAATCCCGTGGGAGCAGCGGCTTCTCCCTCCCGGGAACGTGCCCGCGCCAAGGCACCTGTTGGTCCGGCTTGTAGCTGGGATAATAAAACCTGGGGTTTGTGCTTTCCCGGAGCCAGAATTCCCGCTGTATTCCCGGGCAGCGGGATCCCGGCGGGCTGGGCTGGCCGCTTTCCCTGGCCACAGCCGCGATCCAGGGGCAGGAACGCAATTCCCGCATCTCCCGGCGCGCAGGGATGCGGGTCCCGCGCTCGGTCAGCCGCGGGGGACGGAAAAGCGCTGGAAAAGCGCTGGAAAAGCGCTGGAAAAGGGAAGATTGAGCCCGGCTGGACGGGAAATCCCGCCCCGACGGGCCGCGGGGGACAGGGAAAGCTTCATCCCGGCCGCCGCCCGCTCCCCTCCGCCGCATCCCGGGACTCGCGGGCGGGAGGGAAGGGAATGGGAAGGGGAAAGGGAAGGGGAAGGGATGGAGGCGGACGGAATAAGGAGCCCAGACCTGTTGCCATCAGAGCACGCTTTACTTCGGCAGCCGCGGGCGGCGGGACCGGACCGGGACGGGCCGGGACGGGCCGGGATGGGCGGCTCCGGCCACCCCGAGCATCTCCCGACCTCCGGCATCCCGGGATCCATCCGCCGGATGTTTTTCAGGAGGAAAAGCTCCGAGCCGACCCCGCGCGTCCCGGGGAGCTGCGGGCGGTCAGTGCGGGCAGTCAGGCTGCGGTCAGCTCGGCGCTGCGGTCAGTACGGCCCCACCACCACCGCCTCCACCTCCTTGGACGGGCGGCGCTCCTTGACCAGAAAGTTGATCATGCCCTCGGACTTGATGAGCAGGTTGCAGCCGAGGAAGAAGATGCCGAACACCACGGTGAGGGCCAGCACGCACATGACGGCGATCTGCACCACGCGCATGATGTACAGGCTGCGCTCGTCCGCCGCCGCGCCGCTGCCGTCGGTCACCACGGAGGCGGCGGTGCAGCAGCGCAGCGCCCGCTCCAGCTCCAGCGCCGCGCCCCCGGCCCCCGCCAGCAGCCCCGCCGCCGCCGCCGAGGAGCCGTTCGGCAGTGCCGGCATTCCCAGCGAGCCGTTCATCCCCGCCGGGAGCCCCAGCGAGCCGTTCATCCCCGCCGGGAGCCCCGCCGAGGAGCCGTTCATCCCTCCCGGCAGCTCCGCCGCCGCCGCCGCCGCATGCAGGCGGCCCGAGCCGGGCCGGGCGGAGCCGTGCCGAGCCCAGGCGAGCCCAGGCGGGCCGGGCGGAGCCGTGCCGAGCCCAGGCGAGCCCAGCCTGGCCGCTCCGCGCTGCCCGGCCGGCACCGCCCGCTGCGCTCCGCTCCGCCCCGCGGGGAAGCCGGGGAGGGACCGGGAGGGGCTGGGAGGGAGGAGAGGGGGATTGGGATGGAGATAGAGAGGGTGGGGATAGGGAGGGAGGGGCAGAAGGGAGGGGAGAGGGGATGAGGTGGAGATAGGAAGGGTGGGGATAGGGAAGGAGGTGAAGAAGGAGGGGAGGGGGGTTGGGCCGAGGAGCCGTTCATCCCTCCCGGCAGCTCCGCCGCCGCCGCCGCCGCATGCAGGCGGCCCGAGCCGGGCCGGGCGGAGCCGTGCCGAGCCCAGGCGAGCCCAGGCGGGCCGGGCGGAGCCGTGCCGAGCCCAGGCGAGCCCAGCCTGGCCGCTCCGCGCTGCCCGGCCGGCACCGCCCGCTGCGCTCCGCTCCGCCCCGCGGGGAAGCCGGGGAGGGACCGGGAGGGGCTGGGAGGGAGGAGAGGGGGATTGGGATGGAGATAGAGAGGGTGGGGATAGGGAGGGAGGGGCAGAAGGGAGGGGAGAGGGGATGAGGTGGAGATAGGAAGGGTGGGGATAGGGAAGGAGGTGAAGAAGGGAGGGGAGGGGGGTTGGAGGGAGGGAGAGAGGGAGGAAAGGAGCGTTTGGATGGGGAGGGAAGAGGAGAAGGGAGGGAAGAAGGTTTGAGGATGGAGGAAGGGGAAAGGGTTTGGATGGGGAGGGAGAGGGAGAAGGGAGGAGAGGGGTTT